CAATATTTCCTCAAGGTTTCCCCAACTCATGTACAAATGAAAACTTCATCCCTGACTTCACCAAAACATGAATATAAAAAATAAATAAAAATAATGGTGAGATAGAAAATTCTATCCTTGCACTGGAGGAGTCCATTAACAAACCTTCTCCTTTTTTGCCCTCAGGACACAGGAGCTGTTATTTTACCAGTGCCTCGCTTGATGACATCCAGCAGGTTATTTTGAGACTTTTGCTTTTTGTAAGTCTTTGTTTAGATCCACGTCAGTACCACAAACTCACTGACTGATTGGCAGCAGGACACCGGCTCCTCTTGTTTTCCTTTGAGATAAAATTGATATTTTAGTCAATGGGCTTCAGTGCAGAGAAATGTCTCTGCCTCCTGGTGGTGACATGAATTATTGCTTTAAGAAGACCATTTTTCTGCCATTTACTGTCATGAACTACGGAGTCAAGGCTGTGAAGAGAATGAAATCAATAATTCACAAGTGTACGGGGTGGGGCGCTGGAGGGGGGAGTTGGTTGTCTGTTTGTTTGTAAATTCACACTTGTGGGTTTCATTTTAGGCTAATTATTGTGCATAGTTTTAGTCTTTCTTTCTAATTCTAAAATGTCTAATTTCATCATCAGAACAGGACATAAAAGACGTTTTTTTTAGCGGTGCTGAAATGTGTACGATTTTCTTTCTTTTTCCGTCGCCATGTGACAGTTCTGATAAAAGGCTAATTAGGGATTAATAAAACATGTTGATAATCCTGCTGTTGATTGGGTGCCTCCGATAAGGCAGCGCTTGTCATTTAGCCTTAAGTATCAGTAAATTGCCTTCAAGATTCCTTCTTCCTCACTCAGCTTGTTAAAACTCCTTCACCCTCTGTCTACTTCTGTCTACTTTTGTTACTGAAACGTTGAAAGGCTCTCAGAAAAGATTACACCAGCAGCAAGGGAAGAAAAAAAAAACTTGCACTGATAAAGATAACCAACAGTGTGTGTTTCTTTCTTGCACAGATATCGGAAGCTGAATTAAAGCAGCAGTCTTAATTTGTCAATAATTACAAAAGACTCTCTTTTGTAATTATTGGTACGTGACACAAATTACATCTCTGATTTAACCACATTATTGTCTCTATTTTTAATATATTAACTTCATCAGGATTTTTGTCATTTATATATTTGGATTTTCTTTCATCCCTCTAGCCTTTTTCCAAGTCTTTATTTGAGCTGTATATTGATACCAAATAAGCCAATATGTTTACTCTGAGCATTCTGTGTGGACCACATGTGGTTTAAAAGTTGCTATTTATGCCGCGTTTGCACATGTTCCCGTGCCATCCCAGTGAAGCTCAGTTGTGTCCACTCAGGACACTGGAATGGTTACATTGCAGGTGAAATTAGGTAAAATTTGGAAAAGGAAATACCTCAGAGTAGTTCTGCAGCACTTAGGAAATCACCAAGATTTCCTTTGGAATGGTTCAGTCAACATGTGAATAAACAGACTCACGGCAATGTGGAAATAAAAAATAAAAATGATGATTCTTCTGAGGTTTGGAAGGTGCAGATGTTATGTTCTGTTTATGTTCACCAGAAACGTTCCGTTGACCACGCTGCCGGAGACCACGGTTTGACAGCAGGCTTGTGGGAAATCACAATGTCAGAGGGAAACTCCACACAGCCAAGCTAAATGTCTTACCTGCCAGAATCCACGTCAGGTTGTTTGGGTGATTAATCAGGTGTCACTGAGTCTCCTCTCTCTTCTCTAACAGCAGGTACGTAGTTAAATCCTGACTTTCTTTACACCAGAGATTGAAAAGCCATC